CCCAACGTGTTGGTTTGATGTCTGCATTTGCGCTGCTGGATTGGCGACGGGAGCGCTAGCCCAGGACTCAGCAGAGGGCCAATGTTTCCATTTGGCACTCTTTGTTGAGAACGCTGGGGGGGTGCAGAGGCTGGGAAAATTGCCGAGCTCCAGCATCCCCTCCCATGCTGGAGAAACAGAAAGCAATTTGCCCAGGGCTGCAGGAGAGTGCGGAGGAGGCAGGGAGCTTTTTACCAACAAGCTAAGGTGGACAGACATGTCTGAGCGAGGTGGCCTTACAAGTGCCTTTAGTGGTCAGGCTTATTGCTTCCCTTGTCGCACTTGTTCATTTCAATGCAAATGCTTCAGTGCTGGGGCAATTAAACATCGACCCTGCAAACTATAGCAGGAAAAGTTATTAGTGATGGCGAACTCTTTAATGAATGGGGCACTACTCCAGATATGACTGTACCTTAAGCGATAACACCTCTTTAAAATACTGTTTTAATTATTCCCTGGTGAATTAAGTTCATGGGGGAGACAGAAATCTATGTTTCTCCCACTAAGTGCATTAGCCCTCATTTAACTTCTGTATATTGTAATTTAATTACTTTCTCCCAAAAGCGTATTAAGGATGCTAGATGTGGCTAGCTGCGCTAATTGCTCCGCAAAGATTAAGTGCATTCACCCTGACTTATAGCATTAAGGCAAACTGTAATTTATTATCTTTAAATAAACCTCAGGATACATATGGTCATCGCTAATGGGTCTCAATTTTATCTTTCTCTTTTATTCAGCTCAAAAGTTGTAGCACTGTTTGATTTAAGTCACTTGCCTGGAGGTGTTCTGGAGGTAAGGCTAAGCTGACCCATTTATATAACAGAGTCCTTTTTCTCACTTAGATGATATGCTTCCTTAGTCTTTGTAATCTTTGCTCACGGTAAGTGCAGTTTGTAGTGTGTGAGGTGAGTACTTAACACGGGTCTCATTCGTTCAAGAGTAAAGTCGATCAGCACTGGAACCCCAGAGTTTTAGATGTGGGTTCAGCCACTAGCCAAAACAAGCTTTTGACTGTAATACTGTAACACTTAAGTGTCCTTCTCTTGGTTCCAGGTCCTCAGGGACCCTCAGCCCTCCACATTGCTGAGCCATTCCAGCTTCACACCTGCCTGAGTCAGGTAATCAGGACCTGTGGAGTGCAGATCACTTGGCTCAGGCATTAATGGAGCTGGAACACAACTGGCTGAGGGTGCTTAAGGACTGGATTGGGACACTCTGCTGATGCTTATTTCCAGAGGTACGCTGGACACTTTCCAATGGTTATGGGAACTGTGAAATTTCCAGGCCTGTTTCAACTGAAGCCCCACTCAAGCTTGATTAGTTTGACCTGGAGATGAACCGTGACTATTAAAGCTAGGCCTTCAGTGCAGACCATAAATGTCAAAGCTTGGACAAAATGAGGTAAAAACATCCCAACGAAAGCGTGAGGGTCTGCTGGCATCCCCATGGGATTCTAGAGTTATGTTAGTGCGAAGCCAGTGAACATGTCTGGCCACTCTAGCTTAAATGTGAATGTTTGAAGGAAAAAGTATAGAAGCTTTTTCCTTCAAAAAGCTTTTATTATAAAAAAAGCTTTTATTATAAAAGCTTTTATTATAACATGGCCAAGGACATAAATATCTCTCAATGTGTTTTGGCTGGTGCCTTCATCAGGAAGAGTCACAATACAAACCCTACATAGTGGCTCTAAATACCTTCAGTTGATTAGTCACATGACTTTGGATGTCCAAGTGATTCACAAATATCAAAACAAACCTTAGACCTTAGATCTTACATATAAATTTCATGTTGATATGAGTGGTTGTTTTTGTATAGTTTTGTTTTGTTTTGTTTTTTCTTTTGGTATTTTGTTTGTTGTAATGTTGTATGCAACTTATTGATGTGAATTACTTGGATGTCCAAAGTCAATGAAATAAGTAGTATTACAGTACTTAGAGTTTAAATATAACAAACATGGTGATTCTATGAATTAAAAATGAACTAAATATTCCAAACTTATTTTTTTTATTTCACAATTGCTCCTCACTAAAAGAGCAAAATGGTCACTTTGAGCAGGCCACTATCCATTTGGAAAGGCAAAAGGAGAACAGCGAGTTTTACTCCCTTGTTCAGGAGCTGAAACTGGATATCTGTGACTTTAAGCTTCCCTTGCAGAAGCAGCACCACACATGACTTAGCAGAGGACTAATCCATCAACTTGGTTGTCACCATGCCAACAGCAGTGACAAGTGATTGCTCGAGTGAGTTCGTGTCACGGATGACAGTTTGCAAAATCACACATTTTATGTTGCTTGGCGACCGTACTCCACTGTTAACAACATACATTGCTTGGCAGAAGAATCGTTTACTGCAATTATTACCATTCAGTAATACATTTCTTGAACACTGTTTGATTGCATCATATTGTATTTCCTTACCATTTTATGAAAGCAGTGGGCCTCAAGGCTGTGTTAAAGTGGTTTTACCACGCTTAAGGTGGCTTTAGGCACTTCACTAAGCTGATTAGTTAGTAAGCTGATCACCGTATGCTGTGGTGAATGCATTTACAATTGTAGCATTGAACTCCTTTGGATTATTAGGAGTCTGTATTGCTGGATATTATAAAGTAGCAAGTTTGTATTACACAGAATCTGATCATTTCTTACATTTATGCAGTGTTTCATCTCACACTGAGCACTCAAAACAAAACCAGTACAGGCAGATTTTCTATCCCAATCATATGGCTGCATCCACAACAAAATAATTACAAGCTCTGATGAGCCACAGTTCTTTCTGTAACAATGTTGTCATTCTATAATGTGAATAATGTGCTGTTTGACGGCACGAGAAAGAGTAGCTCGCAGTCGTGCTGCTGGTTTGCCAAACTGTCAAAGAGTAGTCAGCCTGGAACTACATGAGCAAAGCAAATGAAAATGGTTTGTTATTGTCTTGCTGCCTCCAAACAGGCTACATTACTAATGAATTACTCAGAAATGTCATAATGTAACATTGCTGTGGCTGATGTCAATTACTTATGCTTTACATCAAATGATTATGAACAACAGCACTTTTTTAAGCAACAGAGCCACTAGCACACATTGTGCCTGCACATTGATGGATCATACCAAAAACAAACAGTGCCAAGAGCTGGAGTTTGAATGACATATTTCACGTTTAATGGTGCCACAGATTTAGTTTTGGGATAAAACTGCTTGGAATCAAAAGCAGGACTGGGGAAATCGCTCCGTCTAGACATTGTGCTGGATTGTGTCAGCTCTTTATTACATGATGTCAATGTCTCGATATAAAGCTTGCTCTTTCAGAGTGCTATATGAAAGAAAGATTACGTTTCAGCTATTGAAATAAAAACAAAAGCCATCACCCCCGTTCATGTGTAGAATAAACATTTCAGTGATAATTCTGTTTCCCTGCTATGCAATGGAGAGATTTATTATGGCTGAAGGAGATATATGTGTGTGTGTGTGTGTGTATGTGTGTGTGTATGTATATGTATATATGTATATATATATATATATATATATATATATATATATATACACATACACACACAAACACACACACACAGTGTATGTAGTCCATGTTTGGTAATCCTTGTATCAGTTCGCTACAGATGTGTGCTATTAGCTGCTGGAACATTAACCAAACAATACATGAATCATACATGAATAGTAGCAAGAAATGAGGTGCTGTAACAAGAAGACCATGGAATAGTCCCTCAACTATCGCGCACCTTTCACGCAGCCTATAAAAAAAATGTACCCACTAGAGCCTATAGGTCTGTGGCAGGGATTTGTTGTATTGATTGTTGTATATACTAGTATTAAAACATTTAGAATCACTTGTCATATTAATAATTGCTGTTTTTTATTTCACATTCTTTTATACAGTACACATAAAAATACTATAAGCTAAATACCACAAGGTATTTCAAGACTTTTTTTTAATATATTTTAAGCTTTTTGGGAACACCAAAAAGTTTTTAGATGATAGATTATATGCTGTTATTGTTTACTATTAGTAATTTATCAGTAAGTTAAAGAGATTTGATCACCATGCTTTAAATACGAAGTATTGTGGATGTTCATTTTATTATAACTTCGTTCTCAATGTTATCTTGATTATTATCCATGAGGTGCTGTGAGTGTTTGACGGCTAAATCCTTTTCCATTTTCTGCTGTTTAATCTGCTCTTCTAAGGCACTATAAGGCGCTAATAAGGTGCTAATTTATATTACTCATATATCGGACCCATAAAATTGATTCATTTTTTGGCAAATATACAGTAGCATTCAAAAGTTTGCAATCACATTTAAAAAATCCATATGTTCCTGCTAATGAGTTGAAATCTATGAAGGTGTAGAGTAAAGGCACCTTAATAGAATCATTGTATATATATTTATCTGCAATGTGATCCCAAACTTTTGAATGCTACTGTGTATTTGCTGGGATCAATTTTATGGGTCTGGTATTTGAAATATATCTGATTGCAACAGGAACTTAGCACCTTATCAGTGCCTTATTAGCACCTTAGAAGAGCAGATTAAACAGCAGAAAATAGCCACGTTTTTGCAACGGCCTTAAAGGATTGAGCACCTCACGTATAGATAATAGTGTGAATTTGTTTTAAAATACAGAAAATGTTAATTATCCATTATTATCATCAGGATCATGGAGAAGGTCTAAATTATCAGTAATTGTTATCAACGCTTCCTTACATAGTGATTAGGCTTGCGCTGCACTGTCCAAACCCAGCAGTGCATAGACTTTGACAGTGAATGTGTAGAAAGTAGAACCTCTCTCATACTTGCCCATGCCTCTGCACCATGTTAAGATATTTTTATGACTAGTTGAAGGCTGTTTGAGTTTCGGCTGTCGTTATGGCTCTTCTGTCCTGAATATATTTTACAGGAGATGTATGACATATTCCCTCTCTCTCTCCCTCTCTTTCTCTCTCTCTCTCAGCTGCAATCCTCGATGACCCAATGGAGTGCAGCCGGGGGGAGCGCTTAGCCATCACTCTGGCGAAGGACAACATCAACCGCTCCAGCAACCGCTCCACCACAGGCAAGCTGGAGGTGGACATCTTTGAGCTGCTGAGAGACAGTGAATATGAGACAGGAGAGACCAGTAAGTAGCAGCCTGAGGGGTGAGCGAGAGCACTGGGCCTGTACAAATTAGAGTTTGACAGATATGAAAATTTTGCTACCTATACTGATTTTAGCCAAACTTAAACAGACTCCAGTAGTTTTAATTAAACCCTACTTTACTGACTGATATGATTATGAGTTGTTAATTATGATGTCAGTTCTCAGTAGTCAGATAAACAGCAGAAACCTATGATTTACTAAGCGACCTATATACTACATTTTTCTTGTTTATTTTGGTTTATGTACCAAAAACAGCCATATTTCATTTTTGCTTAACCATTTTTCAGACTCTCTTTATTGCTTGGAGTTAAACAGGGTGTTTTTGTTATTGTGCCTTTAAGACTGGTAAATGGAAATGAGCTCTGTTCTGATTGGCTGACCTGTATTGTGCTTTACTCAGTCCAGGCGTGAACATTCCTTATAACTTCAATGTGAATGCAGGCAGAGAACTAAACTGCTGTAGGCTGAATAGGTGGATATATGTAAATGAGATAATTCAGAATACATTTAAGGATCTCATGGACTGAGGAGTGAATGGCACATTTTGTAAGTTTATTTTATGACATTGTCTACATACTATGTTACTTGCATACTATCTTATTTCAGAGAAGTATGAAATTTTCAGTTTTCCAGTATAAAAGACTTTTAACTCTTTTAAATCTGCCCTCAGAGTGTGTCCATTTTGTGCATAATAAAATAAATCAACATGTGGAAGTTTTACAAATTACATCAAAGCAAATAAAAAATATTTGCTTGTATATGATATGGGCCCTTTAAATACTACAAATATAAAACAAGCCACTTATTCACACAGTGAGTAATCAGTGGGCAGCAGTATGTTCAAAATAGCATCATGTTCCTGAACGTGACTCTTTATGTAACCTTTAAAGAGACATTATTGGTGCGACTGGATTAACGCCAATGCTGATAAATGGAACCTTTGTATCAGCTGATTTATTATATAAACAGTATATCTGTCAGGCCCTAATACAAATATAACCCAATAAAATACTTTCACTTAGCACTAAATTAGGTTGCCTTGTGAGTCCTGCCTTATTCCTTTCACACCTTTTTCGTTTTGTGGGGAAGTATGACAGCAGAATTCCAATCAGATCACGGAAAGGGCTCTTACATAATGGCGAATGAATGTGTAGTAAACAGTGAAGTCACGGCAGCTGAGAATAGAAAGCATTACTGTCTTTTGATGTCTCAGGAGTCGGTGTGTATGTGGGCACTGAGTCTCAGGGCCTGTTTTGTTGCCTTGGTTACTGCTGGTCCTTTCTGAGACCGGCTACTTCTGCAGACACGCATTAACACGGTTAAAAGGTGCTTTATTAGTTCCTTGGTCTTAATGAGATGAGCAGAGATTTAATTATATGGTGACATTTGTAGCTAAGAGTCGGCCTGAAATTTTGCATTGTTGTTGGGTTGGATTTAGGCAGATAGTGATCTGTTTTAGCACTCAGCAGAGAAACTACTAATCCTAGCCCTTAGAAATCTAGAGTTACTGTTGTTGTTCTGCAATATAATTTAGATACCGTTACATTATTTCATAATTAAGTACACAGCTCATGACATTTGTGTTCTGTTTACATTCTGTATTGACAGGTTAGCTCGAGACGTAAGTACAGATAAACTCCACTGACAAATTTCAGGTATAATGCATTGGCACTAAACAGGCATAAACAGGCATTTAAAAAAATACTGCACATTTATGCCTGATTTCCAAAGGCATAAGATGTCCACACTGAAATATATAATTAGCCACACTTTCAATATCTCCACCAACTTTTACATGATGCTGCCAACACATTTTGAGTTTGTCTATGCCAGTGGTTCTCAGATCGGTCCTCAGGGACCTCCAGACAGTCCAGATTTTTGCTCCAACCTTGTAACACGTAGGGCTAGAGTAAAAACGTGGACCATTTGCGGGTCCAGGAGGACTGGTTTGAGAACCACTGGTCTATGCACTTGGCCCAAAAACTGTGTATTTAGGCTGATGTGCCAGTTTTGTACATAACAAATGAGTGCAATGCATTACAAACTGGTGCAAAAGGCTTAGTTTGGCTCTGAGTTCACTGCTGTAATAATATGTCATAATATTGAAATTAGCATCTATTAGCTAACTAGCCTGTACGATTTTGTTACATCCATGCTATCATGGCATAGAGTCTAGCATTTATGGCATAGTAACACTGCTAACTCTGCGACATTCTTGCATCCACAGTATGTTTAAGATCTACCCACAAGTTTTCAACTATGTTCAAGTCAAAGTGAGGGCCATTCCGAAACTTCAGCTTGTTTTTCTTGAAGTAGTTCATTGTGGATTTTGAGGGATGTTTTGGATCATTGTCCTGTTGTAGAAGCCAGCTTTAATTCGTTGACTGACTGCGTCACATTTGCTTCCAGAATTTGCTGATATTCGGTGAAATCCATTCTTTCATCTACCCATGCAGTGTTTCCTGTGTCACTGGCTGCAATACAACCCCAATAGCATAATGGATTTACCTCTGTGTTTAACAGTTGGCAAGGTGTTCTTTTCATCACATATTGCTTCTTCTTCTTCTATCCAAAAATGCCATTTGTGACTGTGGCCAGAGATTTCTGTTTGTACTCCATCATCTGATCTAGATTTTGTTTTGCATACTTCAGCTGTTGACTTTCGTGTTGAGATCACAGACATGGTTTCTTCCTGATGACTCTTCCTATGCAGATCATGTTTGTGTAAGCAATGCTGCACAGTAGAATGATGTACCACCACTCCTGTGTCCTCTGTCATATGGGTGTTTTGCTTTGCCTTTTTGGCAGCTTACAAGCAGTTCTAGCTGAGTTTTATTGGTGTTCCAGATCTTGCTTTGAATTTCACCTTTCCCATTTCTTAATGAAATTTCACTGTAAATTGAACAGAATTTCAGTGGAAATTGCAAGCTGGATGCAATTTGGTATCTTTTTATAGCCTTGCCCTTTCTTAGGCACCAATTTGGTTTAATTTTCAGATCCTTAGCCAGTTGCTTAGAGCTAGTGGTTGTGGAGTGTTAGCAAAAGGTGTGAAGAGAATTTTATTGAAGAGAATTCTTGACCTGCCTAATTAGTCCTAATGGGTCAATTTAGGCCTCATATGTTATTTAATTTTTGAGACTTTACAAGAGAAAGGGTGTTCAAACTTTTACACAAACATAAGTTAATCAAATATAAAGTAACTTTAGGCCAGACCCCACAAAAATTGAAATTTCAAATGATGACAGATGTCTTCTGGCTCTGGAGTTCATCTTTATATACAACTTTACAGTATACTTTTTCATTGCTGGCTGTATCTGTGACATCTGAGGGTGAAATGATGTTTCTATGACTTTTTTATCAAAGCCTAACATGTTTTTCACAGCTGCCAGTCAACCTGTTCTATCTCATCCCTCACGTAGTGCCCCTAACAGCCATAATGCTTCTGTATAGATGCGGAAATCAAAGAAAGCAGGGCTAAACAAAGAGGCAGAATGGCTCACTCAGACAGAGAAATCAAACCTGAGTAAAACTCATTGCTGTGAATGAGTGGAGACAGCGGCAGAATCAGGACAAGAATGAGCTCTCATTTACAGCAATCAGAGCTGTTGAGGCTGATGGCGATTTAGAGCCCAGAGCCTCCCCTTCCATTCACTCAGCCATAGAGAGACCAGCCTGTTTACATCATTCCTCTCCTACACTATCTCTCTCTCTTTTCTCTCTCTCTCTCTCTCTCTCTCTCTCTCGTTCTCCTTGTTTACTGCGCAGAAGTCAGTGACCACCCTTTCATTGATGTACTTTCCAGCCATTTAGTACACATTATTCAGCATTTCAGCATCAAGAAATAGCAGATGAAAACACATGTAACAGAAATCACACAAATGCCTCAGCAGCTATATAAAATTGTACTATTTAGTGTGTCCACCTTTTCTTTTTTACAGCTTCCATTCTTTTTGAGAGACTTGCTTTCAGATTCCTTGACGAATTCTACAGGGATATTCTTCAGCATCTCCAAAGTTCAGTCTTAGAAGTTGGTTGCATTTTCTGCTTCTCTCAATCCAAGTAATCCCAAACACATTCAGTGACGTTGAGCTCTGGACTCTGGGGTAGTCAGTCCATTGTTCTGAGAACACCAGCAGCTTCTTTGTTTAATTTGCTCATTTTTTATTTTATTTTTTTGTCTATTTTCTTCTCTCAGTTAGGGCTTTTTGACCGCTACACATCCTTTCAGACTCATAGTGTGGAGTTGTCTTCAGATCTGAATCAAGAGTGGAGCTTGATTTTCTCCTCTCTCTCAAAGATGAAAGCTTTAAGTACTGTTTATCTTTTGGGGATAGTTTTGGTGGTCTACCAGGTCTTGCATGGCTGTTAGGAGTCCCATTTCTGTACATTTTGATAACTTTTAACAACTGCTGTTTTGGCAACTCCTGTTTTTCATGTATTTCCATTTGACCTTCCCCTTATTTATGCAAGTAGATTATCTAATATCAAATTTCCTCATAAATATCTCCTGAGAAATGAATAATTTGTAGTTAATGGCTGTTTTGACTGGAAATTAAATATGTGAAGCACAGTACTATAGGTAGATGGAAAAAATAGTACAAGACTGAAGCTTCAGTGTCCTGTCTGTCTGTCTGTCTGTCTGTCTCTCTCTCTCTCTCTGCACAGTCATGTCTGGTGTAATTCAGAGTTGTAATGGTTTACTGCAGGGAGGAATTGGATTAGAAATGGATCAGTGCCACAGCCAGACAGAGAGAAATACCAGCTACCTGTCCTCTCATACACACTCTGAACCCCCTGCACAGCTGTGTGTGTGTGTGTGTGTGTGAACAAGTCTTTGTTTTGATGCATTCTCAGGGCAAAAATGTTCTGATGAAGAGAAAAACAAGAGAAAAACAGGGTTAGCCAACCTTTTCACCTTTTCAGGACAGGACAACAAAATGGACTTTATTTTGTAAAGGCTGTTTCTGTTTTTACAGAAAG